GATTCACCAAAGCTTTAAGAGGTAGTAGGTAAAAATTTATATTTTTGTCCAAGAATGGTCCAGGACATTTAAAGTGATGGACACAGACACGGACAGTCCTGGACCAGATAGTCTGTGTCCATGTCCGCATCCGCTGACAACACTGATGATAACACAACTAATTTAATTAATTTATATAAATTATTATATGTTTTGTTTGTAAGTATTTAATATATTTAATTGTATACTTTGTAAGCTTATTAATGATAATAAATTAAATTTTCTTATTTTATATTAGGATCTGATTAGTGAAACTGCAAGAAATATCCTCAAATTAGATGCACAGTTAAAGATAAGAATGAGTAAAAAGACAAAATTACCTGATTCATACATGAAAGCGGCATCATTTCTGATAAATTCAACAAAAACAATTCCTCCAACACCTTCACCTACACCCTAAATATAAATAATTTTCATTATAAATTTCAATGTATATACTACAATTGTATTCAAATGCTGATATATTAATATCACATTTGGGATAAATTGCTAGTTATATACTTTCTGTTTTATTATTTTTTAATAATTTTATATATTAATATTGATTGTTACATAATTTACATATTTTTTTTATTAATAAATTATGCATTTGCTATTATTTTGTTCTCTGCCATCCTCATTTGAAATGATGACTCATGAAAAATAATCAAATTTTTGAATGATTTAAAATTCCATGACAAGGTAGAAACCTAAAGTGTATTCTGATGTAGAAATAACTAATGATTACATATAAAATATCCAAGGATCGTTGCAATCTCATTCTGAAAATTCAACACTGTCCGTGATTGATAAAGAAAATTCCTATCAGAAGTCTCTCAATTTCTGGAATCCTTGAATGATTTAAAATTCCACAACAAGGTAGAAACCTAAAGTGTATTCTGATGTAGAAATAACTAATGGTTACATATAAAATATCCAAGGATCGTTGCAATCCATTCTGAAAATTCAACACTGTCTGCAATTGATAAAGAAAATTCCTATTAGAAGTCTCTCAATTTCTTGAATTCTTGAATGATTTAAAATTCCACAACAAGGTAGAAACCTAAAGTGTATTCTGATGTAGAAATAACTAATGGTTACATA